CCGGGGTCGTACTCCACCACCGAGAGCTGAGGGAACAGCACCCCAAAATCGGGTCAGGGCACCCCAAAATCATCCACAGCACCCCAGAATCATCTAAAACACCTTAAAATTATCAACAGCACCCCAAAATCTGTAATTGCACTCCAAAACTGAGTCACAGCACCCCAAAATGGGGTTGTACTCAACCACCGAGAGCTGAGGGAACAGCACCCCAAAATCGGGTCAGGGCACCCCAAAATCATCCACAGCACCCCAAAATCATCCACAGCACCTTAGAATTATCAACAGCACCCCAAAATCTGTAATTGCACCCCAAAATTGAGTCCCAGCACCCCAAAATGGGGTCGTACTCAACCACTGAGAGCTGTGGGAACAGCACCCCAAAATCGGGTCAGGGCACCCCAAAATTATCATCAACACCCCAAAATCATCTACAGCAGCCCAAAATCTGTAATGGCACCCCAAAATCATATACAGAACCCCAAAATCCATAATGGCACCCCAAAATCTGTAATTGCACCCCACAATTGAGTCCTAGCACCCCAAAATGGGGTCGTACTCAACCACTGAGAGCTGAGGGAACAGCACCCCAAAAACGGGTCAGGGCACCCCAAAAACCCCTTAGGGCACCCCAAAATCTGTAATGGCACCCCAAAATCCTCTACAGCACCCAAAATCTGTAATGGCACCCTACAATTGAGTCCCAGCACCCCAAAAACAGCTTAGAGCACCCCAAAATCTGTAATGGCACCCCAAAACAGAGTCACATCACCCCAAAATGGGGTCGCACTCCACCACCGAGAGCTGAGGGACAGCACCCCAAAAACCCCTTAGGGCACCCCAAAATCATCTGCAGCACCCCAAAATTATGAAGAGCACCCAAAAATTATCAACAGCACCCCAACATGATCAACTGCACCCCAAAACTGAGTCACAGCACCCCACAGTTATCAACAGCACCCCAAAATCCGTAACTCCACCCCAAAACTGAGTTACGGCACCCCAAAATCATCAACAGCACCCCACAATTCTTAATGGGGTTTTTTGGGTTTTGGGATCTTTTTAGGGGTCTCTTTTTTGAGGTTCTTTGGGATTTTGGGGGGTTTTCTGGGATTCTTTGGGACTTTTTGGGGTTCTTTGAGATTTTTTTGCTGTTTTTTGGGGTTCTTTGGATTTTTGTGGGATTTCTGGGATTCTATTGTGGTTTTCTGAGGTTCTTTGGGATTTCCTGAGATTTTTTGTGTTTTGTTTTTTTTTTTTAATTTTCTGGGATTCTTTGGGATTTTTTGAGGGTTTTTTGTTTGTTTGTTTTCTGGGTTTCTTTGTGATTTTATTTTGTTTTCTGAGGTTCTTTGTGATTTTTTGGGTTTTTTTGAGATTCTGAGATTTTTTTTGTGGTTTTCTGAGGTCCTCTGTGATTTCTGGGGTTTTTTGAGATTCTGAGAGATTTTTTTGTGGTTTTCTGAGGTTCCCTGTGATTTTCTGGTTGTTTTCCGAGGTTCTTCGTGATTTTTGGGGTTTTTTATGTTCTTTAGGATTTTTTGGAGCTCTTTTGAGGTTCTTTGTGATTTTTTGGGGATTTTTTTAGATTCTTTGATTTCCTTGGGTTTTTGGAGGTTCTTTGTGATTTTTTGGTGGTTTTTCGAGGTTCTTTGTGATTTTTTGGGGGTGTTTTTTGGGTTGTCCCCCTACCTTGGCATCCTTGAAGCTGAGGAGCAGCGCGTCCCTCTTGGCTCCGGCCAGCTGGACACTGGCCATGGACATCACATTCCCAAAAAACGAGAACGAGGCCACCAGCTCCAGCTTCTCCCGCTGCCCTTTGCCCTCTGTGGGGAAAAAATTGGATTTTTTGGGGTTTTTTTTGAGCTTTTTTAGGGATTCCTCCAAGTTTTGTACCCCCCAAAATGAAGAATTTAAAAATTGGGGTGATTTTGTGAGTTGGGTTTTTTTTTTTTTTTTTGCTTGTTGATTTTTTTTAATTAATTCAAATAAATGTTTTTAGTTTTTAGTGTTAATTTTGAGTAAAATTGGGTAGAAATTCCATCAAAGGTGAGATCAGGGGTGAGGTTTTGGGTGTTTTCCTGAATTTGGGCTAACAGGGATAAGGTAAGGACTCCAAAAAATGCTTGGGAATGGGGAAAATTGTCACAAAAGGGGGGAAATCAGCCCAAAAATGGGAGGAAATCACCCAAAAAAGGAGAGAATTATCCAAAAAATGGAGGAAATCACCCAAAAAAGGAGGAAATCAGCCCAAAAATGGAAGGAAATCACCCAAAAAAGGAGAGAATTATCCAAAAAATGGAGGAAATCACCCAAAAAAGGAGGAAATCAGCCCAAAAATGGGAGGAAATCACCCAAAAAAGGAGAGAATTGTCAGAAAAAATGAGGAAATCGCCACAAAATTGGGAGTATTATCCAAAAAAATGAGAAAATCACAACAACAAAAAAAGGAGAATCATCCAAGAAAGGGAGTGAGTCACCCCCAAAAGAAGAGGAAATTACCCCAAAAATGGGATCAGCCCAAAAAATAGGAAAATCACCTCAAAAAGAGAAGAATTCACCTCAAAAAGGGAAGAATTCACCTCAAAAAAGGGGAGAATCACCCAAAAATGGGAGGAAATCACCCCAAATTTGGAGGATTATAAAAAAAATTAGGAAATCACCCCAAAAAAGGAGGGAATCATCCCAAAAAGTGAAAAATATCCAAACAAATGAGGAAATCACCCCAAAAAGGGGAAAATTATCCAAAAAAAAAAGGAAATCGCCCAAAAAATGAGAAAATTGTGAAAAAAAAGAGAAAATCACCCCAAAAAGGAATTATCCCAAAAAATGAGGTAATCACCCCAAAAAGGAGAGAATTATCCCAAAAAAAAGGAAATCACCCCAAAAATGGGAAAATCATCTAAAAAAATGAGGAAATCACCCCAAAAAGGGGAAAATTATTTAAAAAAAAGGAAATCACCCCAAAAAGGGTTAAAATTATTCCAAAAAATGGGAGGCAATCACTCCAAAAACAAGAGAATTATCCCAAAAACAAGGAAATCACCCCAAAAAGGGGGAAATTATCAAAAAAATTAGGAAATCACCCCAAAAAGGGGAAAATTATACCAGAAAGAGAGGAAATCACCCCAGAAAGGGGAAAATTATACAAAAAAAAAAAGAGGAAATCACCCCAAAAAGGCAGAAAATCCCCCCAAAATATCCAAATCCCCCCAAAATTCCCAAATCCCCCTAAAGGAGCTCACTCACCCCCATTCCTGTCTCCTTTTCCTGGAGCCTGTGAGGGAAAATGATGAAATCCCAAAAATTACCCCAAATTTGGGGATTTGGGAAAAAAAGAGGGAATTTGGGGGGGAAATTTGGGGGGAATTGGGGTAACTGGGGGGAAAATGGGGAAATTTGAGGGGAAATTGTGGGAAAATGGGGAAATTGGAGAAATTTGGGGAAACTGGGGGGGAAATTTGGGGGAAAATGGGGAAATTTGGG